GGTGCCTTTGCTTGACTGGCCTGAATTCTGGGTTAACCCTCAGACTATGGCATGAGACTGTAGGATTGATCCCCACCATATCCGAGTGATCCCAGGCAAAGACATCCGAATTGCACCGAATAACCCCGATCAAAGCTCCTTTCTCTTCGGCTGTGCAAGATGAGCCAATGTAGGTGATCTTCTGAGGGTCTCCGAGGACTACCTCTATAGCTTCGAGGGACTCCTCGGTAGGTGCTTCAGCTTCGAATTTTTCCTCTGCCCTGAGATACTTGGGCAGAGGATACTGTAACTGTTATTTGATTGCATCTTTGGGACTCGCCTCTGACTGAGGTGATTTCTACACTTTCTTTGCTTCGTGTAGCGTTGGTATGTAACATTCTTTGGCAGCAACCTGGTCTCCCAAGAGGTCGATGACCTCCCTGCCATCCGGGGATAAACACCTCATTACTTGATGAAGTGTAGAAGGGACTCCGTTCATACGATGGATCCAACCTCTTCCCATAATGAGGTTATAAGATGGATGAATCTCTGTCACGACGAAGTTTTCCTTCAGAGTTCTCTTTGCTGCAGTAACGGAGAGATCGATCACCCCAAGCGGATTTACCTTAGTACCATCAAATCCCATTAGGGGGCCGGAAGTTGGCCTGATGGATGACAGTGAAATCCCCAGCTGATCAAAAGCTATTTTTGTAATGATGTTGGTGCTACTTCCCGGATCTATCAGCACTCTCCTGATCATGTAATTCGCTACCAGGAGGCTGATGACCAAGGGGTCCTCATGTGGGCGCTGGACTCTAGAAAGATCGTTGTTACCGAATCCAATGTTGATACTGCCTGGTGCAACCGTGTTTACCGAAGACAACCTTCGTAACTTATGAGCCTCTCGCAGCCTGGATCTGTACAACTCTTCAGACTCTTCATCATCCTCCGACCTTCCGTGAATAGCATGGATAACCTTTACCTGACTGCCCTCTACCCGTCGAGGGTTAACCTCCCGAGGTTTTACGTGCTCCTTCGCGACGAGATACTCCACCAATTCTCCTCTTACTATCATGCTTTCTACCTGTCGCTGTAGGGACCTGCAGTCATTGGTGGTATGCCCATAATCTCTATGGTAGGCACAATGTTTGTTTTTGTCCCTCTGCTCCAAGGGTTGTTTCATGGGCTGAGGAGTCGCGAACCTCGTCTTATTCTCTTGGAATAGGCGCGCCAAGGTAGTACGAAGAGGGGTAAGCCTGTCCTCTGTCCTTCGCCTTTTCTCAGACGCTTGGGTGGCTTGTGTGGCGGTATGAGGAACCTTTTGCATCCTTGTGCTCGCAGCTTTCTCTCGAGACTTGTTTTCCACTGTGACGAGGGTAGCGTGCTGCGCACGGTGAGCTACGTTTTCCTCCAACCGAATGTAGATTTGTGCCCTAGCATTCAAAGTCTGCATATCCGGGGGGGAATATTTGACCAAGGATGTGTGAAACTTGGTTCCCTGGATCATTGCCAACTTAAATGTTTCGATTGCCGTGGCAGGATGGCAATCTGCTATCTCCGAGGCCTCCATGTTAAATCTGGATAAAAAATCTTGCAGAGTTTCTCCCTTCCTTTGCCTTATGGTAAAAAGGCTGGCTATACTTTTCTTCTGCTTCTTATTTCCGCAATACTGGGCTAAGAACATAGTGCACAAGGTCTCATAGTCAGGGATAGACTTGTGTGGCCTATTCCTGAACCATTCTAACGCTGCTCCGGTTAAACTGGTAGGAAAAACCTTACACATCCACGGATCGTTATGATCGTCTAATGCCATCTTTTGCGCATAATGATCAAGATGCCGAGAAGGGTCGCCTGCCTCATCGAACTGGGTGAAGGATGGCATAGTGAACTTCTTCGGCCTCTCCACAAGGTACACCTCGTCAGTAAAGGGGGTCTTGACTAAGGATTTCTTGTGCTCTCTAGCCATCTCGGCTGGTGTCTGGATTCTCAAGAGCTTTTTTTCATCGAATGCATCTTGTACACGTGCGCCATCTGGAACGCCATTGGACCATACCGTAAGCCTATGGCTGGACTCGGCCTGTTCGTCCTGTGTGCGATGCGGGAGATTATCCGAAGCAACCGCCTCGGACCTCGTCCCTTGCTTTTGCTGCGCCTCACTAGGTCGAGCCCCGTTGGGTGGTGTCTCGTTGGCTGGAGGCTCGTGAACCGGAGGTAAATTCCGGGTGGGAGGTGGTGCCGCAGCATCGCCTGGTGGTGGTTGTGGCGTTAGCCTGGCCATGGCCGTGTGCAGCGTATGAGTCTGCTGCTGAAGCGCAGCTATCTGGGCGACACTCGTATCGTTTGCTTACCGGAGTGTCTCAAATTGGTGCAAGAACTCTTCTCGCATCTTTTGCATCAGTTCTATCTGTTGATTCATTGCTGAATCTCCGTTTGACATTCCAGACACGACTAAAAGATTTAATTTGAAGAACAAGTGGGAGTATATTTGTATACGGTTCCCACAGACGGCGCCAAAGTGTAGGTGCAAAATTTCGCTCAACCAATAATGACTGAGAAAAATAAAACAACTCACTCCAAAACAATAAAAATAAATAAGAACAATGTATAGAGAAGTGTGGAATTGCTTGATCCTTTATTGGAGGTCTTAGCCTCTATTTATATACAAAAGATTGCAAAATTATGGTAGGACTCGCGTTGCTTGCCCTCCAATTCTTTCTATATAACCATTCTTTTCTAATAGAGTTCTTTCCATTGTCGAATCTTCCATACATAGAAATTGCCTTGTACAGAACTTCCTATCCGAATTTTCCTTCTACAGTAAATCCTTCAAATGGTAGGATTTGCGCATTCTTGGGCTGAATATATTCTGATCCGGCTGGGCTTGGGTAACAGGCCGGATGTTAAATACTCATACGCTGGACTGACGACAAGCTGGGCTGATGACTTCTTGCTTCGGCCTTGATGGAAGTTGGAGGATAACTAACAATGGTCTTGGGCTGTAAATACCCTCAATTTGGGCTTGAGCATGATGGGCCTTATATATTCTTGGAATGTAGATATGGGTAATGGTGACGTGTGCGCTTCTTATTGGAGGGAGTTTTTTTCCCTCCACAGTAATCGGTCTCTCTTTTTTAAAATCCTCCATTACCATGGAGACTACACAAGATAATGCTATAAACTGAATGTTCAGATTGATATGTAATAGATGAATCACAAAAAAATGAATTTAATATTCTTCAATTCGCGCGCGCGCGTGTATATATATTATACACTACATATATATATATATATATATAGTGTATAACATTATGCAACATAATAATAGTATCTTGACACATGGGAGGATAGAGGTGACACAGTTCTCTTCATTTGACTATCACTAGAAAAACTGGTCCCCTTTCCCAAGATAACACCTTCACTTGGAGACCACCCATGACCCAACCTTTTATTATTATTATTTCGGAGTATTGTTTTTTTCTTTTTGTGATGAAGTGTACATGTTATATTATGTTTGAATATTAAAAAAAGAAAAAAAAGAGTAATACAAATAATTGAATTGAATATTACTAAAAGGTCCCTGCCTTTTTGATTTTATAAAGAAAGCTCATCTTCCTGGAAGAAAACCAAGTCCACATCCATGGTTTTCATTAAAATATAAACAAGTTTAGGAATATATTTTAATATTACGATTAAAAAAGATAAAATTATTAATCACATGAGAAGATAGAATTGAAGCATAGGCGATCCACTTGGATTATATATATAATTGATTTTCTGAGATACCAAACGAATGGAGTTAAAAATACAGTAGTAATAATCACCAAAAAAGAAGAAAAGGGACTTGAAATGACGTTACAATATATATTGTCCAAGCTTTCAACGCCAATTGTACGAAACCATAATAATTCACAAGCAGATTTTTTTTATAAGAACTTCCATTAGACAAATAAGATATTTTGGTGATATTATTTGATTTTAAAATGACCATCAACTCCTTTGCTACATCATTGTTGTTTATAAACATCCCATTACATCATTTGTGTTTATATAAGCTATTTTGTATTGAAATTTACATCACACAATTTTTTGGGTGAGTGTCTCTATCATATTTTGTATTCGTTTTTGTTCCAAATTTTAATATTTGTAATTCAATTTTATTATTTTTATGCCCACATTCTCAAATTCGTTCTCGATCTCACTTTATATGACTTAGATTGTAATATGTTTGAAATATATATTTATAATCTCCTTCAATATATATATATATATATATATACCTTATTATCTTGATTCATAACTCTCAAAGCAATCCAAAGTTCAATGTGTTGATTAGGTGTTTTCAAATTTATATCCACACTTGATTTTTTATTTTGTCAATGAATATATTAGATTCGATCAACAGAATTTGTTTAAATTTTTTTTTTATTTCAAAAATACATATCGACTTAAGTGATATAGGGATGAATTTTATCCAAATTTGTTATTTGAAAATTGGAATATGAATTTTATTAATTAAAACTTTTATAAGATTGAACACATTTATGTATGTCGTAAAAGATGAATATACATATATATCATATTTTGTTCACGTAAGAAAATAAAAAGATCAGTTTGTTCTCCTTAGGAGAGTTTTGGTCCGTCTACACTCATTTTATGCTAATTTTATAATTTCTTGAAGAAATAATGATTTGATTACGATATTTGATTAAAACAAAATGAAACAAAAATTATTTTTTTGCCTCTTTTTTTTTTTTTTTGTGTGCACGTCCACTTGTGATCGATCAAAACCGCCCATGAAAAAATTAATAGTAATTGAGTAGCATGAGTCTTAGCAATACTATTGGCAGTTTGGGAAACTAACAATACGCTCAGAATCCGGACTCAATCGAAACGGTTCACCCCCACGTACCTTTTTCCACTTTTTACCCCCATTAAATACCAAACCGCCGCACTATCCGAGTCCTTATCCGTCTTTTCACTTTTGCCCCCACCACCTTTCCCAATAAATGTACCTCACGGCCCATACCTCTCTCTCATCCCGTCACACTCTCTCTTTCTCTCTCCACTCTTCCATGGAGGACGAACAGAGCACCTCTCCATCCCTTAAAAACAAGCTCAAACAAACCCTATGCTTGTCCTGCTGTTTCCGTAGCAACCGTCGCGACACCTTAGATTCGCCGTCGTCCGACGACAAGCCCAGACTGCTCAGAACGCCGTCGACGTGGTTGAAGTCCAGAGCTCAGGAGCTGCCGGAGATCAAAGACAAGTGTCGACACCTCATTACTCGAATCGGTAAGCATCACCGGAGGCACTCGTCCGCCGATTTCAGGTACGATCCGTTGAGCTACTCTCTGAATTTTGACGGAGGGTACGAAGATACTCAACTGGATGATGTTCCGCTGAGGAATTTCTCGTCTAGATTGCCGGCGTCGCCGCCGCCGAGAAGAGTTGCGGTGCCGGAAGTGGAGGTGGCTAGTGTGGTGGGTCCGAATTCGGTGGCAGTCAGGAGAGAGATTACAGCTTTCAGTTAATTGGGTTTAGAAATGCTGGGTTGCCGGTAAGAAATATCACCCGACGAGGTGGACAGCCGTGGCGCCGCCGCGGGTGACGCGGAGTTTAGCGAGTTAGGTTTTAGGGTTTGGATTGTCCAATGATTTGATGTACAGAGCTTGAGTTTTTGGAGAAATGATTTTGTGTGTGTGACCGACTGGCTTTTTTTTTTTTCATTCATTAATTTTCAAATTTTCAATTCTCTCTCCTTATTTTCTTTTGTTTATCTGCATATAGTTGAATTTATTTTATTGCGCAGACAAAAATTTCATGTGAAAATACACAAATTCAACGCTTGTGATTTCATGCTATAAAGAAAGTTAAGAGTATTACTTAATTAATTAGATATGAAATTTAAGAGTATTACTTAATTAATTAGATATGAAATCGGATAAACACAAATGTATTTGATTTGACTGGTGATGGGGCAGTGGACAGTTAAGAAGCCGTGAAGGTTGACTAAGGAGAGCATCTTTGGAAGAATATTTTTTAATAGTTGGGTGATTGTTTCTATTTTTGGAACATAAGTTTTTAGTTGGGTGGGAATTTCATATTAGTTCTTATAAATGTAGGTATTTAGAGTGTTGAGTATACTGAGTCCTTAAAGTCATTTGCTTAATAAATTCGGTGCACCAGTCACACTAAACATATTATCAATTTATGATTATATTGAGAAACTTTGGACTTTTTGAAAAAATGATTTAAAAAAAATTAAACCAAATAAAAAGGTGCTCCATGAATGGTGTAAAGAAAAAACATACGTACATATATATATTTTGTTATTGTGCTAATATTATATTGCATAAAGTGGTCCTAATAATGTGAAAACTAATTACCGGTTTATTAGCCACGGCGTTGAGACAGAAATTGGATGGATTTCAGTTCAATTTTACATGTTAGAGGAGCCTTTTTTTAATTCAAAATTTTCTGAAGAAAAGTGATGGAAGGCATATACGATCAGCTTTTGGAGAGGGTGGTACATAAAATATTCGAGTTTTTATTGTAGAGTCTATGTCACGACTCTCAACCGCAATCACGAGAGATTGCGTGTAACCAATTAATGTGAATGACTGAATGGACTCAGAGCATATTCCGTTCTATCTTGGGAGTGTTTGGGACCAGTGGTGGCGGAGATGCGGCCCATTTGGAGAGGGAGGGAATGTTCGGGTTTAGAGGTGGGCCAATTTCCTCCCACATTGTTTGGGCCTGGCTCCATGTCACTTCCAACAAGTGGGTCAAAACTCAAAAGGTTCTCTCTGCCACGCAGATGAGTTTCACATGGACTCTACTCGTGTCGAGTAGGCATATGTATTCATATGCATGTAAATTGTAAAATCCCTAAACAAAAGTATACATGGATATATACCTAAACTTATACTCATATTTAATTTTAAAGTAAAATAATATTTTATATAACATAATGCTCAATAAATACATTTAATTTATTTTAAATTAAGAATGCAATAAATTAAATGATTAGATATGTTTTTAAAGTACATATCCAATTAAAACTGTGACACGTAAACCTATAATCATGTTCGAGCTATATGTGTTCAAGTATTTCACTATTTCTAAAGATTCCAACGGTGGACGTTTACCCATTTACTTAAAAATTTAAAATATTGGGTAGTACTACATGCCTACCAATTTATACCCAAGCACTTTCTTATCATCTGAATCCGATGTTGTACAAATGACTCTTGTTACACTTAATATGATGATGTCTATGAACATGCACTTTATAACGCGATTGGTCAAATACATCCATAATTCTGAGCTTCATGTTACTCCTCCTAAGAGACATGTCAGATTCGGAGCATCCCAATTAGATTGAATGGGATGACAGTTTCTCATTCCGAATCTGTAAAATCAGAATTTCGATCAAATCACACATCGCAGTATACTAGACCTTCTAATTCTTTAAGAGGTTTATCTAAAAGATTCGCAATATAACTAGGAAGACGTTTCAAATACCACACATGGGTTATTGGGCATGCCAGTTTGATGTAGCCCATTTGATATCTGCGTATTTGAGAATCAACAAATTCGACTCCGCATTGTTCACAAAATTTCGGGTCTTCCTTTTCATCTCCGATTACTCGATAATTTCCGCAAGCGCAAATTCGGCTTTTTATAGGCCCAAAAATTCTTTCACAAAATAATCCATCTTTTTCTGGTTTATTGGTTTTGTAATGAAAAGTGTAGGGTTTTGTTACATCTTCAACTATCTCTCCATTAGGTAGGATTTTTTTGGCCCAAGCGCTTATTTGTTGAGGAGAAACTAAACCAATTCGGAGTTGTTGATGTTTATACCGATCGATCATAGAAGAAAAATTTTGATTCATTCTGATTAAGCTTCCTTCCTATTAATATGTAAGTTCTTCTCAGATACAAGGAAATGATTCAATTCCAGAGCCAAAGATCGTAGTTCTCGAACGAGCAATCGAAAAGATTCTGGAGCATCCTCAGGATTATGTATTGTTCCTCCAACGATCGTAGTCCCAAGTATTTCTTGGCGAGCTCTAATATGATCAGATTTATAAGTAAGCATCTCTTGTAAAATATGAGCAACACCAAATCTCTCTAGAGCCCAAACCTCCATTTCTCCTACCCGCTGTCCCCTTTGCTTGGCCCTTCCTTGAAGGGGTTGTTGTGTAACAAGTGCATAATGGCCACTGGAACGTCCATGGATTTTATCATCAACTTAATGAATTAATTTCAAGATATAATGCTTTCCTATTAGAACAAGTTGTTCAAAAGGATCCGCGTTCTTCCATCAAATATTTTGTTTTTTCCTGAATACTCGGGTTCAAATACCCATGGATTCACTGTTTGCTTACTGACTTCATATAATTCAGAAAACACTAGTTTTCTTGGAGCTTCTTGTTCATATCTCTCATCAAAAGGTGCTATTTGGTAAGTATATATAATTATTATTTTTCTCATTTTATAAATAATATTATGGACATAAACACTAACTCGAGGGCTAGATGAATGTTATTTTTAATTTTTTAAAACTTTGTTTCATTTTCTATTAATCCATAATTAGTTTTATTAAAAATAATTACAAAACTAACCCATTATCTATTAAAAATTCAACAAACATGTCCCGCTGTATCTTGTGTCCAATCTAAAAGTGACAATTCGTGTTCGCGGGTCGTATCAACTTTTGCCACCCCTAGTCTAACCACATATATATAAATTTTGGAACACTCTATAATTGTGATAGACATGTGTCCGGCTACGTGTGGTGTGCTTGAAGGTCAGATAAAAATCTTCTGTATTTTCTAAGAAAAAAAAATGTTTCTAGACTTTTTGACAACTAAACTGAATAGGGCCAGATAATTTTCCACGATTCACTGTTGTGAAAAATTTAAAAAGCGAAACTTTTTGATAAAAAAAAAAAAAATAAAAAATCTTAATAAATCACAACACTTTTGTTATATATCTTATTACACGCAAATAACAACACTTGCCTACACGTGTGATGTCATCACAAGAATATCAAACCCACTCATATAAATTACACGAAATTATTCGACTTTGTGAGTCCAAATCATTATCCATGTATGTTGGATTAATAGTCTCCTATTTCTAATATATCTACATATAGAAGGTGTAACAATCTCCCACTTTGTCACAATCACCAAAAATCCCCATCCCTTAATACTTAATAAGCTCTCCTCTGTTTCCTTAATATATATATCTCTAGACCATATCCTTCTCTTCTCTTTCTTTATCACCCTCTCTAATCTTTTTCTCTCATGGTTGAACGACAAGTGAAGGAGCATGAACAGGAAGATGATTTAGATCTCTAAGAAGAGACAGTTTCGACGAGTGAATGTGGTTGTTTTAGGCACTTTTGCTTCCAATGGAAACAAAGCAACAATGGAGAAAATAGGGGTTTCTTGCGAGTACGGAAAGGAGAGCACAGAGATCACATTCACATGGTTAGTGAAGAAAGGTAGGGAGGTTTCAGAGTTTTTGGCAGGACCCAAGTGTAAGAATTTATTGCGAAGTATTATTGATAGCAAATATATGATAATCAAGTACTACACCAAAAAGGGGACGAAGAAGACTGAGTTTCAGTATGATCCACATAGCTATGCTCTCAACTTTGATGATGGTGGTGTTGCTGAGGAACAACATCACCCATTGCCTACTTTTGCGTCCAGGTTTGCTGCTCCTTGAGCGGAAGCTGTTTTTCGCGACGAAGAATGTGTTCATCAATTGACATAATCCTTTATTTATTTATTTATTTTTTTGGGGTGTAAATACATCAGTTGTTTAATTTGTAAAATCCTTTCTCTTTGTTTGTGATTATATAAATTGTGTAAGCATAGTTAGGGATGACAAAATACATGTTTCGGTATCAGCTCTGTTTCGTTTAGAGCCGTTATGGAGTGGTTAAATAGTGTAAATTATAATTTTGTTCTTAATACTTTATTTTTTATTCAATAAGATTAAGTATATATTAAACAATTCCTAATTTATTCTATTTCGATTACTAAATATTATTTTGGATTATTCTTATTTAAGAATTTTATGTATTATTTTGATGTTTTAATAATAATTTTAGTTGAATATTATTTTTATTTATGTAAGAGAAAAAAAAATTAATTACACTCAACAAAATCGGTCCTACCCAGTCTCACCCACCCCGCCCCACCCAATTTTGGAATGTGAACCCAATGTAAATATGTATATATTTACAGAGAATGAAGATGAAGAACCAGTACAGTGCACTAATTCTTCAAAACTGTTTCATTATCTTGAGGTACAACAAAAAAAAAACTGGATACATGACATTTTCTTGATTAAAATATATAGCTTCTCAATTCCTGATAGATCTCTCCGTAGACATACACCTTACAAGACTCTTCCATGACATTTTCTTGGAAAATGAAAAATTCTTGTGTTGATAACAATAATTATTCAAATGAACATCTTTTCGATCGTGCAGGGCACATCCGCAGTTTCGATGGTATGGTCTTCGCTCGATGTCCATGTTGTACATTGATATGCTTCCATAAACAATGCAGTTGAACATAATCACAGCTGCTCCGGAGGTCATCTGTGTGTGTGTGTGTGTGAGAACCTGAGTTAGTTCGAGTCTATACCTGTGTATTTCTTTGAACTTTTTATACAGAAGAGGGTGTAAAATGTTAATGTTTGGAGAAATGTTGGAGTTGTTTGGGGTCAAAAAGTTTCA